ACTGGGGGGATGTGCCCAACCCAGGTACATGCCCTTGACTGGAATCGAACCTGGGACCTTTCAGTCCGCAGGCCGACGCTCTATCCACTGAGCCAAACCGGTTTCGGCAAAAAATCTAATTTTCATATAAATAAATTATTTTTTATTTTCTCTTAGTCTAAGATGTCTTTTAATAACTAATTAAAATGTTAAATTGTGTGACAAAAAGCTGTTATTTGTTCTATAGGCTATTTATGAGTGAAAGGATATTACAGGCTTTCTTGGTATGTGTTTTAAAAGCATCAAATCTTTTGGTTCCTGTATAACTTCTTACATTTTCAAGTGGAAGACAATAGAAAGTTACTTGATTTCCTTTCTCCCAGAGGCCAATAGAAAATGGCTGTGAAACTAGAAATAATGCTATTCTACCTAAGCTGGTTTCTGGGTTTCCTAAGATGTTCATGAGCTATAGCTGAAGAGATGCTTCACTTGAAAAGAAAAAGGAACTGGCTCAGTCCTCTTCTGGTCCAACTCCTATCAACAACTTCCCCCCTCCAATCTCTGCTCATCCATCTGACCCTTTGTTTTGGTGGTGGGAGAGGAGCAGGAATTAAAGGTAAGATCGTGCTGTACCACCTCAGAAATGGGGAGCACAGTTACCCCTAATGTATTGGTACTATGATTTACTCAGCCTGTTTAATAAACCCATACCTGTGCCCAGGTAGATGGGAAATGGTGAGAGGAGAGGCAGCCCTTGCCAAAACCACCAGGCTGGAACAGGGAGCTCACTATTGCCAGGAGAGTGAGGCAGATGCATTCTGAGGTAACCATTCCTGCTGATTCTCTCACCTGCTAGCTTCTGCATCTGTCCTTATATAGTCCTCATGTGCTCCTTCCTATCCAGTTGATATCCCTGGACATGATTTCTTGATTGCCTACCAGTGGTTCTCAACCTTCCTAATGCCGCAACCCTTTAATACAGTTCCTCATGTTGTGGTGATCCCCAACCATAAAATTATTTTCGTTGCTACTTCATAACTGTAATTTTGCTACTGTTATGAATCATAATGTAAATATCTGATATGCAGGATGTATTTTCATTGTTTGCGACCCACAGGTTGAGAACCGCTGGAGGGTATCAATCTTCTCTCCCATTTTGTTGGAGAACTAGCCTTATCCCTTTCAGGCTAGACTTCCTTCATTGCCATTACATCCTGGGGTGACATTGATTGAGTTGTATAAAATAATTCAACACTCCTCCGGCCTGGATAGATTGTAATGAGTTTTAGGGGTTGTCAAATTTCAAGGCTCTGTTTCATACCACACATATTGCAAAGTGCTTAATAATTATCCATGAATGAGTAAGCTTTGAAAGAAGATAGAAACCATTATGAAATAAATGACAGTTATAAGTGAGGCTTATTCAGAGAAACATTATTTTTAGTATATTTTGAACACCAGATAAATGTCAAAGAAACCAATAAAAAAATAGTAAAAACTGCTGAAATAGCATAAATTCACATTTATAGCTGCTGCAGACAAAATGGAAATGTTCTTTACATGGTTGTGTGAGAAAATGTTTCACAAGGCTACCAAAATTCTATCTTAGGATGTCATTTTGGATACTAACAATTTTCAAGGTTTTTTGGTGGATTCTTTAGGGTTTTCTATATATAGTATGTTATCTGTAAATAGTGACAGTTTAACTTCTTTCTTTCCAATTTGGACGCCTTTTATTTGTATTGTTTTATTGCTGTGTCTAGGACTTCCAATACTATACGAATAATAGTGGTAAGAGTGAGCATCCTTGTCTTGTTCCTGATCTTAGAAGAAAAGCTTTCAGCTTTTTACCATTGTGTATGTTAGCCATGGTCTTGTCATATACAGCCATTGTCAAGTTCAAATAAGTTCCTTCTATACCCACTTTGTTGAGAGGTGTTTTTTTTTGTTTTGTTTTGTTTTTTTTTTACCATAAATGGATACTGAATTTTGTCAAAGTTTCTGCATCTATTGAGATGGTCATATGATTTTTATCCTTGGTATTGTTGACGTGTTAAATCATATCAATTGTTTTATGGATATTGAACCACCCTTACATCCCTGGTATAAATCCCACTTGATCATGGTGTATATCCTTTTTAAAACAATATTTTTTTAAAATTGATTTCAGAGAGGAAGGGA